TCAGTTTTATAATGTTTATGAGTAATAGCACGAGTTAAGATATAGGGCATTATCATTGTAAGGCGTAGTGAATCGTTCATCCAGTAACTATCCCGATGAGTGATTGGATTTTGTAATCTTTTCCAAGTAGATGGTACCTCAAATGCTCGCCATATTTTTATAAACTCTTTATGTCCTTCATCGTTCATTGATATAAATGTCTGATCAAAAAGATGATGTACTAAACCTGCCAAATAATGATAAGGGTCTTGAGGTACTTGTGTATATTGATTATGAATAAGATGATCAAGAATATTTTTTTTAACGCAAAATCCATATCATTTTGCTATATTTTCTTTAGCAGATTTTGTAAGTGCTTGTTTGATTTCTTGAAAATATAAATCTGCAATATGACAGTATCTACCATTTGTTTGAATATCAAAATACGGATCATTAAGCATTTCTTGAGTTATTTCACATGAACAACATCTACGGTTTACATTGTGCCGCTGAACTCCTGCCATTTCATTGCCTTGTGGCAAATCAGCAGTACATATACTGAGATCTTCAGAAACTAAAACTCTTCTACCGATACAATCAGTCATAATAATTCCATCTTGTAATTTTTGCATTTGTTGAATAAATGGCTTAATAAAATCTACAAATTCTGTACCAAATGGGACCAAGCCAATTAAAAAATGGTTTTTGAGACATTGTCTCATCAAAAGTGGCATGTTCCTAAATTATACATAAAGTCCGCCAAGCTTATGATATGCCTTACCAAATACGCCAAAATCATCATAATATAAATCAATAAAGAATTTTAAATGTTGTAAATTAGATGAAAGAGACGGCCTTTGGAAATTATACTGATATGGTAATTTATGTCGTTGATGTATTTGCCTAATTTTTGATCGATTATGATGTATATACAGAATTTCCCCAATCTGATAATCATAATTTACAGGTTCCGGTAAATCTTCAAGCTATATCTTAACATGATGAACTACATTTTTTGTATGAATTGTTTCCCGATTCTCAGTTAACCAGACAGTATTATTTCTTGATCGAATTAAATGATCGGATGATCTAATATTGCCTAGAAGTTCTGCGTAATATACGATCTTTTAAATATACAACAACTTTTCTTCACCATTCTCATTTAGTGTTACAATACTATTGATTTACCCCAGCCGTTGACTTACAGTTGTCTCATTCTGAATATTATAGAATACAAAGTCTCCAGCTTGATAAAGTACTAAAAAATTGTATCATAAAATGGTTTAGAAAACAAATGAATACAATATTATAAAATCGTAAATATTACCATTTTCGATCATATGTGATGTTTCGCTAAATAGTGGTGATTCTTTCCATATTCGTCCATGCCACAACTCTAACCTTTCTAAAGCTTCAATGCTAGGACCAAAGTATAATTTTGGATAAATCGATGGATTGTTAAGAATGCGTTAAATATGATCAAGAATAGAAAACGTATAACCCTCTTTAAAAGAAATAGAGGTAGATGAGGTATCCGTCAGATTAATATTAACATTATGACTATTTAGAACTATCAACGGAAGACCACGTCGCATTTATTTCAGTGTTATGATACTGAGGGGTAGATCGGATATACGAAAGTCTGAATGTCGTAAAATTTTTACTAAATCCTGGTAAGCATGAGATCCTATTAGCTGACTGGTTAGTTAATTGTCAAGAAAGAATACAAAAAAATCTAATTATTATTACCTATCATATGTTTTGTATACCAAATAAATATCAACATCACAGATTTATTTAGAAAGTAAGGTCTAGCTTCACCATGATAGGATGATGTATTTTGAAGTCCATCATATTGATCTTTGAATATAAAAGATATATCTTCATTACTATCATCATCAAATTCCTGAAAGCAATTTTCTTGATCATCATCGTCATCATCATCATATTCATCTGACCCTTGAAAATAAGTTTCTTGATCATCATTATCTGACTCATAAAAATAAGATTCTCGATCATCACTATCATAACATCCATCCGATTCACGAAAGTAAGTTTCTTGATCATCATCACTAACATTATTACTATTTTCATGCTCATCAGAATAATTCTCTTGTTCGTTTTCATTAAAAATATTTTCATTTATAGATGAACCATCATCTTGAGTAACATTCCATATATTATCAACAGTTATAATGGTATTTTTCCTGTATTGTGGAAATTTTAACGTATTAGTATTAATTTTTGGGATCAAATCATTATTTGTAGAATTAATTTGCTCAGGTCTTTGATATAAGGAAGCTGTGTTAGTATCATACTCTGCAAAAGGCTGACGAATGACTTTTCGAAGATTAACCCTTTTTCCAATTTTTAAACGTATTACTTGGCATAAATTTGCTTCTTGTATCATTTTACGTATAATTTTGACTATCTTTAGAGTAAAAATAAGAATTAATTTCGATAGTGTTATTCCTATTTCATAAAGTTTCTTTTTAGTAAAGTTTTTTTTTTTATTATTTGTTATTAAAACTAAAATTGAATACAGAGAAAAATAAACTTTTTTTTTGATTTCAATCACTTGTATTTTATATGTTAACTACATAGCCCTACATCATGATTTCGATCATTGATCTTGTTATTACATATAAATTAGTGTTTTCTATACTCTTTGATACACGAATAACTCTTTCTAGTCGTATACGCAAAATTTTTTATAATATGATACAAAGGAAAAAACAGGTATCAAAACCATCGACGTCTAAGGCAACTAATACAAAATCTAAGGTAACAAATACACGAGCTACTCAAAGGACAAGAAAGGCTAAAATTTCTGGTAAAGTTTTTTTTTATTTATTGAAAGATTTTGATTACGAATTAAAATTTATTAAAAATTATAAATCAAAATACGAATTTAATTATTATAATAAAAGCTACAAAACCTAATAATATTCAAGATGATGACAGTGATTGAGGACAAGCTTCAACATCCAAAATAGATTTCGAAGATATATCCCAAGTACAAGAAATCTCTGATAATGATTATGTATTTGTTCAAGACAAAGTTCCAAATATGCAACAAAATGAATCTGATGATGATCTCGAATCTACTCTTATTTCGCTACTTTCCAAGAAAAAAACCAAAGGAGTTGATTTAAAACATGCTCTTGAATTACTACTTTCAAAAGAAAAGGCTAGAAAGGATCATGATCAAAATGGAAATGATCATGATTCAACTGATCGATCATTATTAAATGAGAAGGAACATCACCATCAAAATCTTGATTCAATTGATCGGTCATTGTTAAACAGAAAGGAATATTCCTATCCAGATTTATCTATTAGGTCAACTAATGAAAGTTATTATGAAGATGATCAATCTGATTTGAATTTTAGATGGTTACCTACCAAGCGACTATCTAAAGGATTGAATATCGAAGAAAATGACTATCTAAGAAAATTATCTAACAATTTAACTACAAAAACTTATAACTTGAAAACTTATTCTCGAGGGATTATTAATAACCAATTACAATCAAATAAATTCAAAAGCCGTCAAGAAATTATTATTCTTGATCAAACACAATTGAATAGATCTAACAAGCACCATTATGATAGTGATCGAGAGGATGTATAAGAAAATCAAATTCGTCGTCTCTTACCTAAAATGATTTCAACATTAGAGTCAACAGGAGAACACACGTCTAATACGTCTAATAAAGAAATTACCGAAGTAAGTTTATATTTGATATATATATATATATTTTTGTAATAGTTATTTGTTATATTTGCTATTAAATTTGGTTTTAATATAGGGTACTAGTGAGCATGTCTCTGATATGTGCGAGGAAATGAAGGTCTTGTTCTTTAAGAGCTGAAATCCTGGTTCTGCTGTGATTATAGCTATTGCAAAAATCCTATTACTTGATCAAGGAAAAAATAATGAAAATATCAAATTCTTAAAAGGACGTAGATTAGAATATATGGCACAACACTGTTCCCGATTTAATAATGATCTTAGTTTTTATGCAGAGGAATACATAAAGATTAACAGGTATATTCTTTGAACATTAATAGGTGTATTTTTTTAATTATTGTGTATAAATTACAATTAAACTATCATTAAATATTACAATAGCATTTCAAGTATTGATATGATACTAAGTGAAGATGTAATATCATTATATATTACTGATGATTTTTTTAAAGATATCTTCTTTACACAATTGGCTGTTATTAAAGAAGATGAATTATTTGATGATTCAACCGTTATTGACCTTTTAAAGATATTTTTAAAACAAGCATTTATTTTGCATTTAACACATGAAGTATCCCGCTTAACCAGCCCTAATATGGATAATCATTATACATTACAATAAGTAAAAGAATTAGATCATTTAACTAATGATCTGATTATTTCAAATTTAATTCAAAATAATGACTCTAATCAAATTGATATGTCAACAATGATACAAAGACGTTGTGTACACAGATCACACAGATAAATGATATTTGAACATGTTTAGTGTAATACTTTTAATTATTTATATTGTAATGCATATTTGCTATAGCGAATTTTAACATATTTAATGTAATGTTTGTGTAATGCATATCAAAATAATTAATATTTAATGTAATATTTGTATAATGTATTATATATATATATATCAAGATAAATAAAAAAAATAATGATGTAATACCTGATGATCATTCTTTTGTAATTATATATGATATTAGTGTTATAATTCAAAAACCTAACAATATTAATATTAACATATATGACAATATGTATAAATATGTCAACATCATAATTATATGTATGGTATAATAGTTTTAAGATAATGTCATAAAAATTGATTTTGATAGCAAAGATTATTACTGAACTGCTATTTGAGTTTATCATCATTTTGAAAACATAGGAGTTCAACGAATTTTTGATACTTGATGTTTAACCTTGACCATGATTCGACGATTAAAGTCCAGTAAATATCAAGCTCTTATACTGGAAATTCTTGATATTTCTGCAGGAGCAGAAATCTTAAGTGGGGAGTAATGTGAACGGGTAAATGTAACGCAACTTATGTAGTGCAAAAGATTGACTAATGTGATATAAATGATATATATGATATGTCAGACATATGTGGTATAACTGACATATTAGACATAGTTGACATATTAGACATAGTTGACATATTAGACATAGTTGACATATTAGATATAGTTAATATATTAGACATAGTTGAAATAGTAGACATATTAGTTATATCCCTCTATATAATTTATTTTATATAAATAGGTAACTTTTTAGTTCATGTAAAAAGATAGACAGATAGGAACTCGACAAGTTAGTTTTAGTAGTTTTAAAAGCAACTGGCCTACCGCGTTACATTTTAATTTCAGTAATTCATTCTTATTTTATTTTCTTATTTTCTTTTATCTCTTTTCTTTTACTCCTATTATTTTACTCGTGAATAAACATATTATTTTATAATTACAAATCATTGGCAATCTGTTGAATTACTCAATGTAATAGTATAAATACTTTTGATAAACTGATTAAATTAAAAGCTTGTAAACTGTTGAAAGATTACTGCTCAATTGAAAAGAATAAACCACTTGAACACCACGTCTAACAGTTGTAGTTCATAAGAATTACACGTTAACAATATTGCATCTGATTTGTTTAATTAGGAAATAGATGAACAAAGTGATTCATTGGTAGTTCTATACATAAATTTTTAAATACGAGCAACTGCTTTGAGCACAGAGTTGAGTTTTTTGATATTTTATTTATTATTTAGGCGTAATTCCTCATTTTATTAAGCAAGCTATTGGATTTTCCTTCATATTCTACAATTTTAAATTTAGAGGTATTAACACTTTCTTCATATTGAGATTCACCTTTCTCCATATCGGCCTTACCTTTTCCTTTATTAGCAATATTTAGTTCAACGACTTTCTCAGAAGTGAAAGTGAAAATATTTAAATATCATTCAACAGTGTCAAGATGATAGACTGTAAAGTGAGATCTGTATGTATTTTAGCAAGCATTTCTGTGAACGCATCTAATTTTAGCATGATTTTAATAGCATCAGATGGTTCCTATGCAGATTGGTTATCACGTTGTTACTATAGGGAAATATAATTATCCTCAACTTGATCTGACCAGGATTTGTTGGTATAAATCAAATCATCTAAAGATGATGCATTATTATTTTGTTTTATTTTTGTTATTGTTATTGTATGTATTGTTGTGGAAAGGTAGTTTTAAGTGGACAGGAATGATAGGGGTTTGTTCAGATGTGATACATTATGACGAGTATGGTTTGTAAAGGATCAAGGGCTTTTTGGATCAAATACAGTATCTTTATCATATACGAAACTAGGTTGTACAGGCTTAGAAAAAGCTGAATAATTTTTGAATTGGGCAGGTTTAAACCTTTGATAAAGATTTTAGGTTTGATGATCCTGTGGTATAATTCGTTTCTTTTTACATGAATGAGAGTCATGTCTAGGCACAGCACAATGAGCACACAGTTTGGTATCTAGTTATGTCTAAACGAGTCTTTTATCATCTAAAATAATTTGATCACCATTAATTGCAGCAAATAAATCTTTCTCAGATTCAAAATAAATAAAGACGTATTGTAAATTTTGGTAATTTGAGCGGACTTTAAGAATTACTTATATCATTGTGTTGACTGCTTTTGCAATAAGTTTCAGTTCACGTCTGGAGGTGTCTTTAGGCAAATTTGTGAGTTTGAGTGCAAATTTTGAATGAAGTTAAATTTCATTAGTCATAGCAGAGCAGGGATGAACTTGGACTAGATCTTTAAGAATAAATTGATCTTTGATATCTTTTGAATAATATTATATTAGTGCCTTTTGCAAAGGAGATAGTTGCTTGTTACTACAAGTTTTTAGTGATCATGAAACATCTTAGAATATTGCCAAATTTAGTAAATATTGATCGGATAATGCTTTCAGATGTTGAAATGGGGATCTCTGTAACCTTAATCACCAAATTGGAGTTGAACCTAAATAAGGTAGGATGCTTGAGTGGCATTAATTTTAAATATTAGGAAATTTGATACGAAGCGCATTGTTAGCATCTAAACTTGTGGAGAAACCAAATCAGACAATTTTGAGTATTTTATTTGTAGGGTCTTGCTTTACAGAGGCACTAATGAATGACAGAAAATTTATGCCGTTGAACATCTCACAAGCATGGTTAATTTTTTTCTTATTAGATTTGCTAGGGAGAAAAGTTTCGAAGGCACAGTAAATATAGAAGGAAGAGGCATCACGAATACGTTCAAATGAGAGTACGTTATGCGAAAAACCACTTTTTCTGACTAAGTTTTCAGTGGAGTCATGAGCTTAATCCTCGTCTATAGTATTGGTAGTTTTAGGAGCGATCGGGATTGAAGCACTTTCATTTTCAGTTTCAGGTGAAGGGTCTACTTCCATATTGCCTTGGGAGCCAGAAGTGATGTTTGAGTTGTCAGTATTGTTAGTTTCAGTAGAACTAGGATGGTTGAGAATAGTGACGGTTTTCTTTTGAGGTGGTTCTAAAGACTTTTCGTCAACAGGTGAGTCAGGAAGATTACGAGTGTTACATTGAGTTTTTGGGTTGTTGTTAAATTTTTTTTGAGTGACTTTTCTTATAGTGGTTTTGAGTGAAGTGGGAAAGAGTTTTTTTTAAGGATATCCTGATGAAATTTAGTATTAAGTTAATAATACCAATTTTGTGTAAATTAACGATCTACATCAAAATTTCTTATATAGTAAAGTTTGGGCATAGAAATTTTTTTAAGCATACAAGTTACCACAAAACTGACACTAGATTCTGATTTTCCTCAGTGCAGTAATTCCAACAAGCTAAATTTTGTGAACCAATTAGGAATTATCGTGTAGCAAAGATCGTCAAATTATTATATAAAAGGGGTTCAGCTACTTTTTATATAATAATTTGCCAATCTTTGCTGCGCAATAGTTCCTGATTGGTTCATGAAATTTAGCTTGTTAGAATCGTCGCACTGAGAAAAATCGGAATCCAGTATCAGTTTTGTGGTAGCTTGTATGCTTAAAAATTTTCTATACCCAAACTTTACTATGTAAGATAAATCATTAATTTACACGAAATTGGTATTATTAATTTAATACTAAATTACGCTAGGATATCCTTTAAGATTTGGGCTTTAAAACAAGTATAAATCATGGTTTTAGCAGTTGTGATCAATGAATTATAGCCTTTCAAAAGTAACCAATCACACTTGTGTTTCTTTTGGTAGCTACTATAAATGAAAAGAAAAAAATTCAAAAAAATGAATTAAACAAAACAAAAGAAAGAATTAAAAAATAAATAAGAAAAGAAAAAAAGAATTAAAAAAAGAAATAAAAAAATAAACGATAAAAGAAAAAAATAAAATAAAAAAATAATAAAAAAAATGAAATAACTAAAAAAAATGAAATATAAATGAAAAGAAAAAAGAAAGGATTAAAAAAACACCAAATAAATTAAAAAAAATTAAAAAAAAAACAAAAAAAAACTGAAACAAATGAAAGAATTAATAAAAATAATAAAAAATAATAAAAAAAATGAATATAAAAAAAATTAAAAAATAAAACGAAATGCTAAAAGATGAATTAAAAAAAGAATGAAAAAGAATGAATTGAAAAGAATAAAATGAAAAGATGAACTGAAAAGAATGAACTAAAAGAACGAATCAAGAAAGAACAAACTGAAAGGAAAAACTAAAAAGGATGAACTAAAAGAATGAGCCAGAAAGAACAAGCTAAAAGAACAAACTAAAAGAAAGAAATGAAGGACAAACTAAAAAATGAGACTTCTTCTATTATTAAAAAATTTTAAAAAAAATAAAAATAAAAAAAGTAAACTAATTTTAAAACAATTGAAAATAAAAATAGTATTATGCATTTATGTATGCAATATTTAATTACATGTAGCATTTATCATATTATTAACAAATTCTATATGCAGACATGTATATATGCAATAACAAATCATATTTGAATTCTTTTTTTTTAGTAATTATTAAAAAAAAAATAAATAAAATTTTTTTAATTTTTAAAATTTGATTTTTACCAAAATTTTTTAAAAAAATAAAACTTTTATTTATTAAAATTTATAAATTTATCTATAATTAAGATAATAAAATTTACAACATTAGAAGAAATTAAAGTTAAATATCTAAAATGTGAAAATGAAACTGAAAAAGAAAGAAAAATAAGGCAAAACAATATAAGATAAGCTAAGAAAAGACTTCTTGATTGACAAGTAAAAGAAGAAAGTAGACCATCTAGAACAACTGAAAATACAAGATAAAAAAACAAAAATCTTTAAGAATATTAATAG